ATGACTTAGGATCAAAATCTCACAAGACAGATGTTTTCACAGACAAGCAAGGTAATTTTATCACTCAAAAATATGTACGTTTCTAGATTGCTCCCATCCCTAAAGTAATACAGAGCACACTCAAACACTGGGTTGGAAATACTTTACTGTGGTGAACAAAAGATCATTTTCACCTGTGATTCTCACTTTTAGTAAAGTTGCTTGTCAAAAATATTTTTTTAAAAAGTTACCCGACCATCGAAACAAACAAATCCATAAGACTGCAATTTTCTATTAATCTTATGAATTTGTGGAGACAAACATTCTATACATATTTTAAAACAGGGTAGCATTCTACATTTATTCAAATGAGTTGGTAAATTGACTGTAGCACAGGACAAGGTTTTCTTTTTAAGGGAGTCTCTACATGTAAGTAGTTTACCCTCCAATCCCAGGAGCCTGTGTGAGGCTCAGGTGACTGGACCTGCTGTCAGGCGTACAGGAACTTCAGTTTAATCAGGCCTAAGATTCAAAAGAACAGGGGTCTTTGCATTCACTGCTGAACACTTGCCTTAAGTACAGGTGAAGGACCTAACAAGTGCAAGTCCACAGGAAACAAGAACAGAAAATAGCTGGGGGAGGTTGAGAGGGACAAAAGAACGAAAGTATAATTCTGAATTTTAATAAGACTGAAGCTTGAAATGAGTATTAATGAAGACATTTTCTGAGTACAACTGGGAAGACTAAGTGTATAAGGCAGTAACAGAGTCCAAAAGCTGACTGGGTATGTCCTGTTACCAGCCAAATTCACATTAGTACACCATACACCAAACATTCATTTGGATCTGGGCTGAAAAACGTTTCATTCTGCACTCAGATAAGATAGGTAAGAACATTTTATGTTGTATGTAAATGCAAGTTAAAGGGTACACTAAAACGTAACCTTTAAACTTCACAGTGTAACAGCATACCACTTCCTGTTCAGAGATAGCACTCCAAGATCAATTAATCATGGCTAAGACGAACAAATGGTCAACATTCTTAATTAGTGTTGATGCATTCTCCTCTGTGCCCTCATCTGTCATGAAGACTGTTTAAAAATCTGAGTTATTAGTCTTTATTGAGGAGTGGATCTGGTTAATATCTCTAAGAATAGAAATCATTCATCCATCCACTATACACTGGTACCCGATAATTCCTACCCCCTATGTAAGCTACAGATAACCACTGCCCTAAGACCATCTTGCTAGCTATAAATCAAAATGAGTGTAGCTCCCATGCAGCCTGGGTTAATTTTTGTTTACAATATATCCACTGAAAATGTTGGTACGACACTTGAGGAGTCTGCTTATAGATTAGTGCAGAGGAAAATATATAAAGTAGTCAAGGCAGAAAGGAAAGAAACACATCAGTCATACAAAACACAGGAAAACCTCTAATTCACATTAACGACTAGAAGATCCATTGAGATTACTGACTTTGTCATTACCAAATTTAAGCAAAGATCCTAAGTACACAAAACACAATTCATAACTATAGTTTAATTTATACTATACAATGTAAGTCAAAGTATTTGACAGCAACATAACTACAAAAGTTTTAAGTTACTCCATTGAAACTCAAAAGCATTTGTTAATCTTAACAATAAAGTTTACCCCCTTATTTCTGGTGCAAATGAAGTGGTATTAGCAACACAGAAATAAGCACACTTCAAATATACTTTGCATGAAATAAGATTAAAATACCACAAAGTAATTTACAAGGAAAGTCAAATTTAAGATTCAACACCAACTGTAAATTATAGAATTAAGAAGATACTATTACTTACAATTGATATGAAAAAACAAAAATTCTACATTAAATTTTACAATTCTTTTTGTTGTTTACCAAATGCACAGACAAAAATCTATGGAAAGACAGAGAATTAACTAATAAGCAGACATAAGTGCAGGAAGCAGGTCTGGAGAAGATTTTCACTGAAATCAGCTTTCTACTCTCTCTGACCAAATGTGTAGGTCAGGCTATGGAAAAAAAAATTATGGCCAGGAAGAAAGAATGAAAAATAAAACTAAGCACCCAGGAGGAAGACAATCACCTTAAATAAATCAATTCTTTCACAAAGGAAGACTGTATCTCTGAAGCTCTTGTTCTCCCAATTATTTTTAATGAATTAGTGGGCAACGACGGTCCTTCATTTTAGCTAGCACTAAGGAAACAAGAAAAAAAGGTGGGGAGGTGCAGAATTTATGAGATCTCAATTCATACTACTCTATTATTTTCAAACTAATTTCTGATGGATGAGAGACTGGTTGGAGTTTTGTATATAGCAATTACAATTGGAATACTGAAGAAATTCCTGCAAACTTAACACATTTAACAGAATGACTACAAATTGATACAAGAAAGCACTAATACATCATGCAGTTTTATAGATAATTTAACAGCTAGTACACAATTATGCACCATATACTGCTATACCTGAAGTAATTTGCTTTTAATGACAAAATTACCCGAGGAAATTATTTTTATCTAACCAAATGCATGTGTACAGTTTTCTGTATTTCATTGTGAAGAAAAATATTTTTCATCATTTTCATCCAAGCTTTTTTTGTTTTAAACTATGCCTTTATTCCTATTTCTGAAGCACTACAGCAGAGATCCCAGGTGTATTTACCCCAAAATGGAAAAATGTGCATTTCTTTCAAGCAGTATTAGTAAGTGAAAACGGTCAAATAAGAGCCTAAGCCCAAGTTAAGTACACTTAAAAGAGCAGCACTAAATTTAAACCAAGGTTTCAAAATGGATGGTTTCAGCTGGGCTTCCAAATTTTTGTCTAGGTATCTGAATACCAGCTCAATGTTTTCCAGTTGCTATGAATGAAAATAAAACTTTAAAAAAAATTCCCAAGAATGCAGTTATCAGAAAGTTAAGTGTTATAATAACTCGCCTGTGGATATAGATGTTTCTAGTCTTTCAATGAGCATACCTAGATATTTTCCTAAAAAACAAGTACAATCCTGAGACAGAAAGTACTGACTGAAAGTATTTCTCCTGGATGATGCATGAGGTCAAATAAGTTCATCAATTCACCAAATAGCTTTTCTTGGCTTTAAACCTATTGCTCTTGCATTGTGTACGAGTGTCTTATCACTTACTGAGTAAAGAAGTTGAGCTATTCTGAACACAGTAATTCCACCTGAAGAACTTGTTAGCACTGGTAGCTTTATCCTTTCATAATATGCAAGAGTCAACACCACGCTTCTGTATAAACACTTACCTTGTTTTCTATTTATGTAACAACAGGAGCCTTTCTACAGTTACCTGTCACAGCCCAATACAGTATTGGGGTGGAAGCCCTCCTAGATAGTCTTCTTCTATCACAGAATTCAGAAAAGCAATACACTTCTAAAATCTTAATTTTTATAATGATGAAATAAAAACAAAGCAAAAAAATGACCTCTGAAAGCAGCATCCCCTGCATGCTTGATGTGCAGCAACAACAAACATCCATAGGATCACACGAAAGCAAGAGTTTGCTTTTTTTCTTTGTACATAGCTTCTGAAGGAAACCAAGGCAGCAAGCACACTGTTCCTTCAGCTGCTATTTTCATAAAATGAAAAGGCTGACACTGACTGGTGAAAGGGCTTATCTGGAAACTCACCTCCGAAACCAGATTCTGTTTGCAGATGGTCCCAAGGAAATACTTGGATTTTAAAGAATTGCAGGCATGTATATGAGAAAAAACATATATACTTAGGGCATATAACAGAAATAAGACTCCTTCAAATGGAAACCAGTGTCTCATTTTGTACCTCGATGGTGTCATGCCAGCAAAAGAACATTATTTATCCTATGTTACAGTGTATCTTACTGTAAATACTTCACAAGATTTGCAGAACTCCAGCTAGGAAGTCCAATTTGGGGGCAAAATATAAATCAGTGAAAAATATTTTTCATTTGAATTTCAACAGAATCTGTATTATTGACTCTGGTCTGCTAGAGTACAACACTGTCTATGTTATACTTTCAGAAGCGCTATTTATATATTGTACCTCTAAGAGCTTCTCTGTTTTCTTCCCAGAAAATAAGTAGTCTTTCATTATTAATATTATAAAATGTTACAGCATCACAGTAGCAACACTACAGTTAATGGTTCTGAATGAAAGTGTTGTCTCTACATTGTTTTCAAATGCTTTTAAGCAGTATTAACTTGCGGATGGGGTCTTTTTTTCAGGTTTGTTCATGATATGGACATTGTGACACGGACACAAATTACTTGGAAAGTAAAATAAATCAAATCTGGTTTTTGTTGTTCAAAAAAATACATTTACATTGTCAAAAAATTCTGTATCCGTTTCCACCACTTTGTTTCTAAAATTTCTTTATGTTGCTTTTATCATCTTCAGTAGAAAAAAGGTAAGAGATCAAGACCTCAGATATGATAATTAATATGTTTCTGTAAGATTTCTTAGTAGGAAAGGGAGGAATTTGGAATCCACCTAATTAGGAAACTAACTAGGTGATGGTTATTTAAAGTGGCATATTTTGGTGGTCATAAGAAAACCATTATATCATACTTACGTGATCAAAAAGAAGGCAGGTTAAAAAAAATCCCAGAACAGGGATGTTGACATACAGAAACATGAAATAAACCTGCTATTAAATCCAGGAAAGCTTCCCAGATCACCACTCTAGATACATGCCATGGCTATATCCTGACGCCCTACCAAATTCAAGCATGGGTGAGAGAGATCTTTCTACTCCTGTGCACCACTCTCCAAATAAAGAAAACATGGGCAGAGATGCTACAGGCTAGGCAAAGAATGAAGCAGCAAGTCCCTCAACCTTACTGCCCAGAACCAGAATCCTGAGGTACACCCAGATAGTCATCTGTACACAGCAACAACACATGAGACAGCATTTAGGTTAATTTTATTAAAGATACATGCCCCGTGCCATTTCTTCAATAGAGAGCAACATCCAGAGCATTTCAATTAATATTTAAGTATTAATAACTTACTTTTATTTCCAACCAAGGCCACAAGTGGCTGTGTTTCTGATTCTTCATTCACTTTTTTTACCACATTATACCAGTCTTCTAAATTTTCAAAGCTCTGGCCGTTGGTAATATCATAAACCAAGAGAATACCCTAAATGAAAAGATGTATTTTAAATGTTACAGGTTGTAACAGTATTTTAACATGGTAACATTTGCATCAGTCTAAATTATCATCATCATAAAATAGAGCATTAATAATGGCATTGTATCTTTTGAGGAATATTACAGAAGCTTATATTTCCTTTAAACACATTTTATTACAGTATTTCTCCTGAACGCCTTCCAAATGTAGATGCTAACTGAACTACAAGGAGCAGAAAAAAAATGGCAATTCAGTAAAGAGCACAATTAGTTATATTAGAAATACTCCAAACTGCATATGCTTTATGAAAAACCCAAAAAGCACTTGACACTAATAGTAAGATAAAAATCACACTGGAGAAGGACTTTTATTTTAGCTAATACTATTTTTAGTTTCATTGTTCCTTTTTTGAAAAAAATGAAAAATAAAAGCAGTTCAGTCATACATTTCTGCACATTGCCTGACTGTCGCGTTTCTGCTCTCCTTTCAGGAGAAAGGCCAGATCCCTTCCTTCCCTCTTGTAGAAGACAAGCAAGAAGTACTGGCAAGCCTTAAACTTTCAAAGGAGAAACTAAAAATGTGGTCAGAAGTCAAGAAGGGAGTCCCTTATATTTCAGAGGTTGTGGGCCAAACTACAAGTAATAAATACTCAAAACAGATGTTACTGAGGATTCCTCAGACCCAATATCCAATATTATAAAGCACAGCGTATTAACAGCTTATGTCCACCTTCTGCCCTCCATAATTCTAAGGTCAGCTCTCACAAATCACTCTCCTCTCAATTACTGAGTCTTCTGCCCCTGCTTTCCACTACAACCTAATTAAGTGTCTTGTAAATAAGGAATAAAGTCAGAATTGTCTTCTGTTGCACTTGTTCTCATGCAGTTCACATCTGGAAAAAAAATCCCTGCAACTGCACACTGTTCCTCACATTAAATTTTCACAAATATTATAAAAAAAAACCCAATACAATGCATATAAAATTAGCTGGTTCAATGATGCAGTGTGAATAGCAAAGATTTTTCAAGTCAAGTTTTTCAGGCATTTGTCTGGGCCCAGCTGTACTTGGCAGTTTCATGAGGAGCATCTTAGACCCCAAAATAGAGTGCCCGCTTATTAAATTAATTTCAGAGACAACACCAAGCTGGTGGAGACTGCAAGATTATTTGAGGAGAATTTAGATTATATGATGAGAAACAATCTAAAAATAATAGGATGCAATTCAATAAGTACCATGACAAGTTCAAAGGAAGCAATAATCAACTGCACGACAGGAAACATCTGGCTTTGCAGCAGATTCTATACAATAGGATCAAGGAGCTATAGTAGATCACAGTTGATTATGTCAAGCTTATTTTGCAGCAAAAAGGCAAATACCGCACTGGCAATGAAACATTCCAGGTGAAATAATGCATCCAGCATCCAGCTTTGGACACTGAATGTCAACAAAAGGGTAGACTAGAAGAGACCGGTAACAATATCAGAGGTTTAGAAACCATGACTGACATTAGAAAATTGAAAAAACTGGACTGATGGCAGGCAAGATGACACTGGTAAAAGTTTCAAGAGAAGATAACAGGAGCTGTCTTTTTATATGCTCTTATACATAGTTTGCAGGTGACACTAAATTGGGAGGACGAGCCAATATGCCTGAGGGCAGGGCTACCATTCAGAGATACGGAGACACTCGAGGAATGGGTGAACAGGAACCTTTCACTATTCGGCAAGGACAAATGCAAAGCCCTGCAGCTTGGGAGGAATAAACAGTGTAGGCTGGGGGGACTGACTGGCTGGGGAACAACTGAAAAACATAGACAGCAAGCCAAATATGAGCCAGCAATGTTCCCTGGAAGCCAGGATGTTCGATGTGATCCTGGACTATATTAGCAGAAGCACAGCCACTAGACCAAGGGAGTTACTCCATTCTACTCAGCACTTGTTACATCCTATCTAAAATAATTCATCCAGTCTTAGGTCCCTCCAGACATCAATAAACTGGATTAAGCTCAGCAGAGGTCCACCAAGATGATCAAAGGCTGGAGCACTTGTCCTATGAGGACAAGCTGAGGGAACGAGAATTCTTCAGCATGGAGAGGAGGTGGTCCTGAGGGGACCTAAAAGCAGCCTTCTCATACCCATGAGGAAGCTATGAAGGAGGTGGAGCCAGGCTCTTCCCAATAGCGCATGGTAGGAAAATGAAACACAATGGACATAAGTTGAAACGAGAAATTCAAACAAGATAATAAGGAAAAGCTTTTTCACCATGAAGAGAATCAAGCAGCGGAATAGGTTGCTCAAGGAGGTTGCCAAGTCTCCATTCTTGGTTTTACAAGAAGGAACTGGATAAAGCCTTGAGCAACCTAGTCCTATCTCACAGCTGACCCTACTCTGAGCAGGAGGTTTGACTAGAGGCCTTCTGAGATCATTCCCACCCTGAACTTCCTTACGATTGTGTGATCAATACATGTAGCAATAGGTTTAGCTTACAGACAAAAGATTATAGCAAGGGTACATAACAGAAAAAAAAAAAACATGTAGACAGTAAGAATAGTGAAGCTCTGGAATACACCACCTTCAGGGATAGCAGAGTCACCAACACTGGAGGAATTTTGAAGGTTGATAAAAACGAAATAGACATTATACAGGCATATAGCATCAGAGGAAGGCAACAGATCCTACTGAGATCCCTTCAATTCCTATTTCCCTGTGACAGCAATACAAACCCATCTTTTCTCCTTCAATGCCATCAACTCCTTGGCAAAATGAGTTCTTGTTCCCTATACACATATGGTTGCTATTAATTTCTAAGGAAGAGCTTCCACCAGTTCCTTCAAGGAAATTAATGATTATGACATCCATCTTTTCCCTTCCTATCTTTCCTCCTTTACTTTACTGATCAATTCTAATATTAAACATCCACTTCCCTCTTTCCAACTTTTGTAGAATTTATTCCTTAATATCTCATGTTTCAGTTAATTTCTGACTGTAACTACCCAAATGCCTGTGCATGTATGTATTCGTCTTTCATAATACAAGCTTTGCTCTAGGAAGTACATACCGATGATATTAAATGCTCAGTGGAAAACAAGAAACTTAAGCTAAAGGACAAATATTGTAAAGGTTAAAAAAACAAAACAAAACAAAAAAAAAACCCTACCACACACATATAAGGCTTAAAGTTGTAAATGAGAAAGCGCACACGGCATGATTCTTTCACCAGTGGTCAAGTTCTCTCAACAGCTTGCAGAAAAGCAGAGCAAACTATCTAAACCATCTTCAGAACTGAAGAGTTTAATCAGAGCTAGATGTAAGATGATGTTAATAGAATCTGATCATTTAAGGTTGGTCAACTCTGTTTCTAACTAATTCTTCACCAAAATGCTACTCTGCTACATGTCCTCCAGCCAACTGCAGCCTACCTACACCTTTGGAAGAAAGAGTATTCACGGTGGATTTACTGTGAAAGAAATCATTGAACAAAGTTCGCAACTAGAGCTCACCTAACTTCCTTTTGGTCCCCTTCTCCATGATCTAAAACACGGCCTCTAAAGCACATTCTTTTATTAACCATTCTTCTTTTGAATCTTGTCAATATTTGCTATACTTAGGAAACAAAGATGGCATGTATGACACCTGAGAGATGGAAAAAAAAAAGCAGCATGGCATGCAGGTCATAAAGAATATTTCTTGCTTAGATTTTTGCCATAGCAGCACTCTATAAGCAACTTAGTATGATACAAATAATTAATAAAGGACTAGTCATAACACCATAGCCAAGATTTATTTCACCTTTTTTTTATTTAACATAGAAACCCCATCATTCCTTTCACAAAAATACATCATATTTTCCACAAACTTACAGTATATGGAGTACAGAATGAGTAGATAGTATAAAAGCTGTTATTTCCCTATGCATGAGAAATTAAGACGGAAAATTAACACTGGCCCTTTTACACAAAAGTAGTGCATTTCCCTGCCATGAAAAAGGTTTGAAACATATGGGGGACAACATGCCGAGAACAGCATGTTAATTCTCTAGTCTCCAGCAATGTGGCAAATAGTCCCTGCTTGCATAATTGCAGTCTAGTAAGAGAGACATTTTGCCTACATTAGTGCATATGTGAGCGCTTTTTGTTTTGGAATTATAGAGTATTTTCAAAAATAGGTCACTGGAAACTGAGAATATTGCAGAAATTATTTGCTGGTCTCTGGAGATGGTAAAGTCTGCAGTACTCTTATTCTATTAACAAGCCAATTTATGAGGTAGCATATGCCAGCTCTTAAAGATACTTTACACTAGATATGTGGGTAGGGGCAGTAATTACAGGTAAGAGATGGCAGCGGTTCTGAAATATTTACCATGAAAACAGCAGCAATGCTATTATGCAGAACTGCAATTAGGAAAGTGTTGTAACCAGGCAATATATTCACCCTAGACAATCAACATTTAAAAGGTGTCAAGTTTATGTCAAGATTTGTCACAATAAAAGCAAGCTATGGAAAACACTAATTAAAACCATATTTTTCTTCCTCAGGTTTATCCTCAGCTGCCCTCATTCTATGACTGACTTTAGTATGAAGGAACTAAATTAACTTTCAAATTTGCATTAATATCCATGAAATATGTCAGATCAACATTCTAGAAAATTTTTTCTAGTCACAGAATATTAATTTTAGCAAAGAGTAACTTCATTATGCTATCTTGCACATCTGCAGAAACGCTATTTTTACAGGCGAAAACAGTTTACAGTCTACATATACTTAACCATCGTTGTCTTTGCTGATACTGAGGATCAGTACACATGACTGAGTTGCCATAACTGAATGAGCTACTGTCTATCAGCTCAGCTGTGGTAACTGACTATACGAGTACTCTTAGCCTCTCTCAATTCTGAGATAAATGTGTCAGTTTTAATCAGCACTGACAAAAAGCTGTTTATTAGCACCTTTCATTTATAAAGATCAAAGAGCTCTTTTTTGCCCCAGCTTGCAGAGTTATTCTGACCCATCAGTGAAATTCAGCTACCAAGATGGGATGTGACAACTATATTGTTCTGGATGAGCAACACCAGAGAAAAAAAAAAAGAGGGGAGAAAAAAAGCAACTGCTTCAAGACAGCAAGTGAACTGCAATTTCTCCAACTGCAACCATGCAAGCAAATTAAATAGGTTCCCATCAGTGAATCTGGCACTCTTATTTTAAAACATGGCACAAGAAATAAGGGACCTCAGTCAAAAAATGGCACCTTAACAGTAACTTAACCAAAAGATTGATCTTAGAGAATTGATTCAGCTCTCATTTCAAGAGAAGGAAACCTCCAGCGGCAAAGTTTGCAGCAAAGTATAAATGGATGTTCCACTTACTCCCCCTGGTACCCTGATCAAATTTCAGCTGAGACCAAGTGAACTGTAGACGTGCTATTAAGACAACCTTTTCAGTTGCTGTAGATTCTCAAAACTTCCATCTCCAGCTGGTGTTAGTAATAGGTCTACCATACATTTGGATTTCTGAGCAGAAAACCAAGAATTCAGCCACTTGTGATTTCTCTATCTCACAATGATCAACCAGATGAAGTCTACTCAAGGCTGTGGGCATCTGCAAATACTGGATAAAAGCATGATGCAGATTGTAGGCATACTGCAAGCTATGCTACACATGTGCTTTTAATCTGAATGATTTAGATTTGGAGAATACATGCAGATGAAAATTTCTGCAACAGATCCAAATAATCTACTCTATGTGTAAGTGTACAGTTTGTGTACTTTCCAAACAAGATGTTTAATATCCCAGTTGCACCACACAGGTTGACCAAGTGCAACACACCATAGGTACATACTTCTTTTGAAGCAACCTTTGCTAGAATTGCTCCAATATTTTAAAGGCTTTCTTGTACTGGGGAACCCAAAAATGAACACAGTACTCCAAATGTAGCCTCAAAAATGTCAGAGAGGATGATAATCACTTTCCTTGATTTGCCTACTTCATTCTGACTATTGCAGCCCAGTACTCAGTTCACTTTTACTGTTGCAAAGGTGCATTGCTGACTCCCATTCAGCTGTTTTGTTTTTTTTTTTCCAGTAGGACCTCCACCTTCTTTTCTCCAGAGCCATTTCACAGAATGGCTGAGGTTGGGAGGGATCTCTAGAGGTCATTTGGTCCAACACCCCTGTTCAAGCAGTGTCATCTAAAGCCAGCTGCCCAGGACCACGTCCAGATGGCTTTTGAATATCTCTGAGGATGAAGACTCCACAACCTCTCTGGGCAACCTGCGCCAGTGCTGGGTCACACTCACAGTGAAAAAATGTTTCCTGATGTTCAGAGGGAACCTCCTGTGTTTCAGTTTGTGCCCATTGCCTCTGGTCTTGTCACTGGGCAGCACTGAAAAGAGCCTGGCTCCGTCACCTTTACACCCTTCCTTCAGGTATTTACCTACAGTGATAAGATCCCTCTGAGCCTTCTCTTCTCCAGGTTGAACAGCCCCAGCTCTCTCAGCCTTTCCTCATAGGAGAGATGCTCCAGTCCATTAATCAGCTTCATGACCCTTCATTGGACGCTCTCCAGTTGACTCCTTGACAGTTGATTCCTAGCCTGCATAAGGTTATTCTGTCCCAGGTACACAACTTTGCATTTGTCTTCAGTGAACTTCACAAGGTTTCTTTCTGTTGGTCCATTCTTTCATTTGGTTGTGGTCGCTCTCAATAGCACCCCTACCCTCCAGCATATTGACCATTCCTCCCCAGTTTGGTGTCATTTGCAAACTTACAAATAATGTTTTGTTCCATTGTTCGAAGAGTTAATAAAAAGACGTGACCCCAGTACCAACCTCTAAGGAATATGACTTATAACCTGGCACCAGGAAGACACTGAGCTATGGACCACCTCCCTTTAACACCAGCTGTCCGTTCAGTTTTTCAGTCACCTTATGGTCCACCCATGCAGTCTGTATCTCTACATTTTGTCTGCAACAATATTATGGGAGATTATGTCAAAGGCCTTGCTAAAGTCAAGGTAAATGACATCCACTGCTCTCCCCTCCACAGACCCAATCAGCTAACCACAGAAGGCAATCAAGTTGGTTGGGCACAATTTACTCTTGCTAATTCCATGCTAGCTCTTCTCAACTACTTTCTTGCTGCTTTGTTGTCCATTCAAGGGAATTTCTGTACGTACTTAAAAGGATTTCTCTTTCCAAATACTCCTACTTGGTCTACTTTATCTTTCCTCTTTTTCTTCTACAAAGCTACAGAAGTTCAACATGAAATAAGCTTCTGCCTAGAAATAAGCTGAAAGCAGTACCTTTCCGAATTATTCATGGTGTTTCATGAATAGATGAAAATAGTTTTGTGTGTCTTCAGCAGGTGCTGTTACAAAGCTAACAGAAAAGTGTGTTACAAGTCAGCTTTGATGATAAGAAGCCTATTACAGACATTGGCAATACATGCCTACAATGGGAGAGAGAACAGTCATTCGTTCATTAAAAAAAATTAGTTACAATGAGGGTTGGGGGAGGATTAAAGATGAGATTTTATGTAGGGTTTTTTGTTAATATGCTCAGAAAGACTAAAAATCAAACCTTTTTTAACTTTAGGCTTACTGATATCAGCTTTTTCACTACTTTGGGGCACTGGTATTAACTTTTTGACCTGCTTTCGCTGATAAGAAACTCCTAAGTTTATCACCAAATTCAATACAGAAAAGGTTAATAGCCTTTTATTTCCTTCACTGAGTTTACTTTGGGCATATGGCAACAATTTGTGATTAATCAAATTCCCTCTGTCATGGAAGCCACTTTCTCCTGTTGCTTGGTAGATCTTTAACGGGGCAGCAAAACGTTTTTTATTAAAAAAAATAAGAAAATGCTACAAAACAGATGTAACAGCTAAAAACATTTACACATTTTTTTGAAAGTGACAAAATGTTAAATTGACAAGTTTGTCTTTATCCTATTAACTAATAAACCCTAATCTCCTTAAGTAGCCATTCCTGTGCTGTACTTATTAGTACAATGTTTCTGTCCAATAAAAATTTTAGGACTCCATATTCCTATTGCTTAAAGTATTGGGGGAAAAAAGGTGCATTCGTTTTCTTTTCAGATAAATATAACATTTATATGAACAAAACATTATGCCTACTGTTCTCATTACAAACTCCAAATTCAAGAACAGAATATATTTTAGGATCACTCATGTTAAGAGGTTTGGTTTATAGTACATCCTCCTAAATCATCTCATAAATCAATATACTGTTATAATATTTAGCTCGCTCTTAATCCTACCATTCACTTTAAGTTGCTTAGTTAACCTCAAGATAAAATTCATTTTCATTGGTTAAGAGTTCTGCAAAAATATTTAGCTACCTGGTTGCCTCCTTTTGTTTGCCCTCTTATAACCCCAGTTGCATGTATGAGTTTAATGGTGTAGGATTGCTCTTAATTTCCTCCTTCTACTATTTTCCCCCAGGAGGCATCTGTTCTAAAAGCAGTCACTATATCTACCATGTGGATATCCAAATAGCCTTTACTACTTACTATGATTGCTTTTCTTAACTCAAGACACAAAGCATGGAAACATACATCTGTTCTTGAAAGTTATTGAGATCTACAAATGCACACCCTTGCTTTGCTTTTTAAGTCAGCTCTAAAAAATTAACTACGTACCAAAATTAGACTTGCGTATTAATATCAATTAAGTTTAGGTTAAGCAGCAATTCAACATTTTTGAGATCCACAAAACAACAAGCTGTAAGATATGTATAATTTTAAGAACAAAGTTTCAATGAGTTTTATACAATTACTATAGATACAATTATCACCATTTATACTATACCTGAGCTCCATAAATATATTTATCCAGCATTTTTCCTCCTATCGTTTGCCCCCCTACATCCCACACTTGAAGAGTAACATTCAAATTTCCTGAAAAAGAAAATGATAGAGATATTGTATAACCTTGAAAATTTAGATACAAATAAAATCAAAGATATATTATCACGGCAGGTAATACAGCTCTAGCATATCAACAACAATAGCTTTTTACGAGTATACAATAAATAGTAACTAAATTTCAACACAAAGATGACTGTATCGTTTTGAAAAAAGTCACTTGTGCCCAGCTAGCCATAGCTAGATATTAACATATTTAGTAATAACAGAAAAGAATTGGAACTACATAAGGTAGAACATTCCTGACTAGAAATTACATAACATACTTCACTGAAGAAACACGTAAAACTTCACAAAGTTCCTACAGCACAGTACTTGGAATTGGAAGGTAACACAATTAATGCCAACTTAACCCCATTATTTCATACTCTATGTTCCTCCCTCTCACCCCCAAATTTTCTTTACAAATCTAGAAGCGGGGAGAATCTGCACAGTAACTGCATTTTGGTAGTCATGCTCTTAGTGCTACATAGTTAAAGAATTACATAGTTGACAGATTAAAAAATGGAAATACTGACACACATCTAAGTTGAGGATGCAAACTATGATTATTTCCTCCACCCACCACCCCAAAGCAGGCAACTAAATTGGACATGATTTACATAATTTCATCTTCGAAGAATACACTAAGAATAGATCTTCCTTCCTATTCTAAACAGTCTTCAAGCTATGTTGAAACTGTTAATAGGTTTCCAGAAACAAAGTAACAAAAAATCAGTGTAAATACAGAATATTTAATATCCTACCAGTCATACATATTCTGCAAGCTAACAACTCAGAAAGCCACAGACTAAACATACACACAGCAATGTATGTCACCACACGCGTACAAACATATTAAAGTACAATTTGGCTCATGTTGCATGGTGAGAACTGTTTTCAAAACTGTACTGATTACTTGGCAGCACCAAACTCTAATACAGTAAGGCCTGATGAAAATTTTTCTGATCTACATAAAACTCATCTGACTTAACATGTTAATAGCAATTCTACTACTCACAAATAATCATAACTGCCTACTAATTTTATTCCTAGATTTAAAAAAAAAAATATTGCAACAAATTCCAGATCACAACAATTGAGAGTCGAGTGAAAAAGAACACAGCATTTTGGGCTGCAAAGACAAACTCTTAATTCAACTATTTTATGTTATTAACAACCTTTTTTTAAACAATGTGATCTATTCAGCCATCAATTTGTAACACACTCACTAGTTATGTAAGGCAATGTGCTCCATCGAAATATATCCCAGCAATCAGTGAATATAAGCAGCAAATTAGAACTATATAGCTGAATAAATGCTATCTGTGATATTAAATATACCACATTATATTTTTACGATGCATCTTGCTTTAATCTGCTTAAAAACACAGGTTTCCTAAAGTGCTACTTCGGTCTCAAATATATAGAGACAAATGTGAGACAACCTATTCACAGTACTTTCAAGCTACACTGAGTTTTATCTAATACAAAGATAAAGAACTTATACATAGAGCTTAGTAAATGCATCGTAAATACTCCAGTTCAATAAAGGCAACCTTTCATAGAATAAAAAGCTTATTTGTTTTGATGGTGCATGTACTATGTATTCATTAATTATTTTAAAAACTTAGAATATAAATGACTGCAAGCAATGCAGGGAAGTCTTCCATAAAGCATCTGGCGTGGACACACTGGTGAATCTGCAGTCTGAAATGGCTATGCATCCTCAGTGGGTATACAAACTAAACATGCCCAAATGCTCACCATGCTGCAGTATTCTACCCCTAACTTGGCTGTATGTATTCTACTAGAAATTTACCATGTCACTTGTGCCAGCTGTTTGGAAAAAAAAGCATTATAAATATTATCACTCTCAAACTCAACAATTTTCAGATGCCTAATTTTGTGTTCAAATGCTTTAAAAAGTTTCTAACTTCATTTTTCCTCCTAAGAAATCACAGCATACTGGGCTTAGTATCTGGATAACTGTATGAAATTATTTCAGAAACTTTAATGGAGTAAGTTAAATTAAATGGTCTAACAATGACTATTCAACTTAAAAATCTACTATTATAAATTATTTACTTTCCTTCACTAACAACAGAAAACAGAAACTGGGCAACAAATGTTGGAATGTTGTTCATTTAAGGTGAAGTGGTTCTCAATTAAGACCTCACTCACTAACTACTGAAATTCATGCTGACCATCTCCAGTGCAAAATTATTCATTTTCCCTTTTTTTCAGTTAGGTCCTGTAATATTTACTCTGTGCTCAGACTGACTTTGGGGGAGAAAGAAGGCTGTTAGGATTATTCTGACAGAAGGAAAAACTCTGGACAATTTGCCTAGCAAATACTTAATTAACAACTGTGACAGTAGCACATGAAGTTTTCTGCAGAGTTTGAAATCTTCTGTTGTTTCATAGATTTAAGAGGAACATATAAACTGGAGAATGACAACAAAGCAGAATGAAACCATGCATAATAAGACAGTTCTTAGAAACAAGGTTAACGTACCAACAAAAAATAGCTGAAGAATTCCATAAAAATGATGTGTAATACACTGATAAGGAACAAGAAAACACTGGGACTTCTTTACTCTGTAGAAAATACATACCGGTGCAAAGTTAAAAGAACTGAGGCAACACAGTGCAGGTATCTAGATTGTTTCTGGTATGAACTGAAGCCACTGGGCTGATTCAGTAGTGATCCTGCAGAAGTATACTTGGTGCACTGGTTAACCTTACTTAAAGTGCTGCACAGTCAAGATGGAACTAAAAACACAAGTCTGCCCACGTTTTGCACTGACAACTTAAAAAAAAAAAATCCTTTTAACACAAGAATCCTGTTTACTGGACTGCACCCACAACCTTCCTAAAAGTATTTGACTATGCCTCTTAAGAATCTGTATCAGCAGACACTCTGACTAGCAGATACACTATTTAAATTGTAAAATCTACACCGTGGTTGCATCCAGACTATACAAGATACTGCATCAATAAATATACTGAAATTGATTTGCATTTGAAAAAATATTTTGAACAAACTGTATTAAGAGAATTTGTCAACAGTTGAACACTAAAAGTCATATTGTTCAAAATTAGCATTTACTATTTGTATTAAACCATATTGTTTTACCACGTAAAATATTTACTTTTTTCAATGCAAAGCTGCATCAGTTACTAAAACACCTGGAGACAACTACAGCTTTTATTTTAAAAAAGAAAAAAAAAAGGAACCAGAAAAACAGTACTTTATTTTACAAGCTAAAATGCATTTCTAATGTGGCCTAATGTAAACTTCTGGGCAATTCTAGAAATCGGTATTTTAACTTCTGAAATCTTTGCCTATGTTTAAAGAAGAAAAAAAAATCAAATACTGAACCATATTTATACATCAATTCTCCTACTAAGTAAGAGAAATCAAGGCTTTTTTTCCCTACTGATAGACACATCATAATTTCTGTGCAGCGGTATGAATTAACCTTTCAAGTAAACATAGCAGCTCTGCAAACCCAGAACTAATCAAGCAATTAGAAAAATCCGCTTACTTAAGTAATGCTTCCCATTCCAGTATTTAGAAATTTTACCTCCCTCCCTCTTCCTTTCCTTCCCTCCTATGAAACACAGAAATCCACATATACCTAAACACATACGCAGGCATAGGGAAAACCAGAATGACTACCTACAGAAAAATACTTCTTCCTGAATATGAATACAGACATTACTATTTTGTTAATGACAAATGAGGAAAATAGATGTACAGACTTTGCTGCTGTTCTGGTGCTATTTTCATCTACATTCTGATTTTATTACAAAATAAACTAGAAGAAAGCAAAACATGAATGAATCAATAGTTGATAATTTTCCAAATTTTTTACTCAACAAGAATATTTAGAATCCCAGTAACGTACTAATAGCTTCTGTATGCTTAACAGCTGGAAAAAAACTTGCAAAACACAAGTTCTCAGCATGCACACTGCATGATCTGTGTACACATTCCACTTGCAAGTACTGCTGTTAAGTATTATGCACACTGGTATTTTGAGAGCATGAGCAGGACAATAAAAAAATTATTCTGTTGATTTTATGGAGAAATAAGCACTGAAATCTGGTACTTTATCACTCACCAGATACCAAAAAAGTACAGCAAAACGAGCAAACCAAAATAGTGAATGCAGGAATAGCCTGAAAAGATCGTTCTGTTTCACTTAAGAAAATATATAAACATAATCAAGAAGTTATTGGCAATATAATTTTAACAAAATAAGTTCAAGAACTGTATATATTTTCTTATAACTTCAGGTTATAGCTAAAATGCTTCATTTCTGGGCTTGATTCCCTCCCCACCCTCCACAAGGAAAAGAGACAGAACCACAGAATTTGCATCAACTTTATCAAATCTCACTACAACTTTTAATAATTACACATGCTTTTTCTAGCTCCTTCTGATTTCTGAAACCAGAAGAAAATGCATTTAATGAAATACTTTCATAATTAGAAATTGAGCAACCACAAATCAATGAAAAGACTTATTTCAAACCCCCAATTGTTCAGAGACAAACTTATACTAGCAACTATTCTTTTTTTAATTATTTCTTTGCATTTTCCATGCAGTGTGCTGCAACTGGCATCTAAATAGTTTCTTTGCCGTCGTGAAGTGAAACATCTTGAATGCTCAAACTGTATTTTTATGAGTGCCGAGGGACCCTAAATTTTAGTGGTCTATTAAATGCCAGCAATTTCATGCTGCCTTGCATAAAACAGCATTCACATATTAGAGCACTGCGATTCCATAGCTGCATTATGCTTCTCACACAACTCAAATACAAGTTGCGTATTTCATTTAAAAAAAAAAAAAAATCCATTTCTTTCAAGACACATCTACTTTTTCAATGAATATATTTAAAGTTCCATTTCATTGTTGCATGTTACAGTATCCACATGGACAGCGAGTATGCTCAAGTAAAGATAATAAAAATGAATATAGATAGCATTCCTTTTATGTGAATTGTGCATTTTACTTCAAGGTACAAGTTGCAAATGCATAACCCTTTGTCACCTGGCAAGAACATACTAACAACGTTGTCTCAGAATAACCTAATTTACTTTGCCATAAAAAGCACTGTACTAAGCTTATTTAGTACCCATTACTTTGAAGAATCTGTTTCTGCAAGTCTTACTGCTGCCCAACCTTTCAGTGTTAGTTTTTATTCTCTTACCTGGCAATATTATCCTTTTCAAAAAGAAGTCCAGTCCTATGGTTTGTTTGTACTGTTTTCCAAATGTCTCTTGGGCAAAACGTGTGGCTAAGGATGTCTAAAATAGAACAATACCAAATTAAGTTGTCATTTTAAACAGCATAAAATTTGTCATTAAACCAGAATTATGAAATACAGCTAAGTACTTTTTAAACCAATGCATGCTGACAGTGTTCATGGATTTGGATTGACAAGCATTCCGGTCAACTTCAATATAATAAGAGGAGGTGGCAAAGGCTACTAATTTATGCAAAAAGAAGCAAGGGACATATTTCCTTTGTATTTCAAGGATACTGTGATATTCCTATTACAAAAAATTACACAGATTTGAATGAGATGTCATTAGTACACTCAAACTGAGTGACACTATCCATACCTGAAGACCTTATTGTTGTTAAAAAGCATTCATTTCCAAAACAAGGGTCCTTCCCTGGTAGAGGACACCATGATCCCAGACCAACTTTCTGGGAGGGAACAGAGACCTGCACAGTGCAGAGTCCCACGGGGGCTCCAAAGCATGGCAGGATTCCTGCCACTGTACATCAAAGTTTCAGGCTCAGAGATTACATGAAGTCTAAGATATGAAGAGTACTTTCTTGTACACAGAAAAAACTAAACTCATGCTAAGAATGCACATTTGCAGAATCACTCCTTTAAGCAGAACTTTGGAAACTTATTCCTTCAATTTATATTTTGTGCGTTTATGAAAGTAGACCAATGCACTGTTGACCTGATAAAGAATCAGCTTTTCCTGCATACTGCTTAAAGGATAGACAACTGACTTCCATAAAGTAATGAAGCAAGGCATTTATATTCTTTCACTAGCAATTTACGTTCTCCATACAAAGGGGGAAAAAAAAAAAAAAAAAAAAAAGGAAAGGGAAAGAAAGAAAGCAAGCCCCACAATCTAAGGTTGAAAAAAAAGGAAAGGAGAAAAGAGAAATGCAGTTATAAATAATACTAAAGTTTGTATTGTGGAAAAAATTAAATATTCTATTAAAAATGAATGTCACATAGATAAAATACATCCTACATCAAATTAGTGGCATGCACTTGCACTTGTTGATATGACATCTGAAAATATAAAAACGAAGTAATTGAGCGAAAAAAATCTAAAGTATTTACACATATAGGGTAAAAAAGACTAACAGCCTCACAAAAGCCTTACACTGTCTGAGAAAACTCAAAATGGGCAAGAAGGAATTATTTTTGCCAGCCTTCCATTCATCAAGACCTGAAGAGATGAGTCACATCAATTGTTATTAGAAATTGCTGTTAAGAGCACTTTTAGTTTAAAATGCAATAGCAAATTAATGCCAATAGTTCTGAAAAATGAGAATAGGCAAGTTCTGTTAATAGAATGGTTATAACAAAGATCTGTTGTGCTAATAATATCAAATATAGACAGGAAGAAAAGGTAACTTACTCTTTTTTTTGCATGAAAACATGATCACCAGAGCTCCAGCACTAAAGCTCTAGTATGAATAGGCAAACATTTATTCAACTATTAAATTACCTGTGAAGTAAATAACACAAGATTTACTGTTTTCTTCTTTCTAGATCACATTTGTATTCCTACCACTGTCATATATATAAATGATATTTTGATACCAGAATATATGTTTAGGAAATAATCAGAAAAATCCATTAAAGCATATGGCAACGTTTGCATTTACTTCACCAAACTCAAGCCCCAAAAGGATTAAAAATAAATAAATAAATGGGGGAAAAGGCAAGTAAACTAGAAGTAGCATGAGTATGCTTATATATTTTTATCAATATGAAAAGGGTAAAGATCACAGAGGATGAATCGCGAGAAGATTCTTCTGCCTACAGCTATGTGACAGTAATACTAACAACACGCACAAAATAAAATTCAATACAGATTGAGGCTGTAGTACAAAAAAAAAACAAAACAAAAAAACCCAGTAGAACTGATTCTTTAATCACAATAGTTAGCATGTCAAGATTACAGAGACATTATTTTTAATCTGTCATGACCTTTAAGATGTATATAAGAACAAGAATGCTGCAGGAATACACCATATAGTCTTCTTGAAATTTTCCTTTTCGGAAAAGTAACCAGTACCCAGAGTACAGATTAAAATATCTGCCTATATCATGGTATTCTATATTCTCCAACACACTAATTTAGATCCCCATTAAATAAGCAACCACTCCCTTCTTGTTTTAAGGGCTCAGTAAATATTAGCTTTATCACTCTGTGACACTCAATATTCCCTGAGGGCTTCTAGGGGTGTTAGTAAAAATAAACAACATACATTCAATTAACAGCCAACCAATAAGAGTAGCAAGTAACCAACAGCATGGCAAAGTTCTCTTAAACATTTTCCTCTACTGTGCTCTTGAATGCAGAGGAATTTATAGCAGAAAATCATTGACTAACTCCTTTTTAATTTTTTTTCTAATAAATGTTAGAGCTCAAGGAAGGTGTTGGATTACCAGACTGGAGTCCTCTATTTATTCACAGAACAAGCATTTATCCACAAAATACTAAGAGCAACAGTCCAAACTTCACAATGGTAAAGAGAGGAGTTTTGTCAATGCTTTTCCAAGTACCTCTACAATGCAAATTCTCCCTTCAATCCTAAAATTGTTCTCTGCCATTCTTGCCATGATAGTTTTGCCTGTAAGAATATGTTAAGTGCAATCTATGTAAAAAATAACCAAACTTAAATAATGGTTCAGTAGAACTGTAACTGTAAAACTAAATAAGTGATCAGGGACCATTTTTAAAATAAGATTATGCTCCATTCATAAAATTTCAGCCATTAATCTACAGATCAGAGGATAGTCGATATCAGGAAGGCCTTGTTCCTTCACGTCTCTACTAAGACAACCAGGCCACCAACTTTCTTAGCAGACGTTCCATTAGACACAAATTTGGCAGGTTCACACATTTGTCTTAAATACTCCAAAGCAAGTTGTTTATATGCTGTTCTGAATAGCAATACACTACGGAAGGTTGGTGTTACAAACTCCCTCCTTTCAGACAAAAAAAAAAAAAAGTCTCTGGGTTCTAGCATACAGCAATCAAGACAGCAGTAAAAAATAATATATAAAATTTACAGTATTCTAAGTGCAAAATACAATGGGATATTTGGGAAGGTTTTTCAGAAACAAAGATGCAATTAAACCTTGCAGGTGAGGCAAGACAATTTCTTGCTTCTGTTTCTCAATGTCAACAACTCACAGTATAAAATGCTGACAAGCTGTTCCTAAATACCTACATAGTGAGTAAAGAGGAAAAAAAGCAAACAATATTTATGAAATAGTAGTAGACAAGTCAAACAGAACAGCAATGACAGCCAGCTCTAACTGACACTGACTACTCACCAGGACAGCACAGAAACTTGTAGAGAAAACCCTGCCAATGACAATTCTTTGAGTAACGCCCTATTGAAGAAAGCTTTCAGAAAGCAATGCCAAAGTGTAGTATTGTAGTTATAAGAAAGAAAAAAATAAAACCAAAATTTGATGGGATGCAAGCATATAATTCTGAAGCCATGAATTTCCATTCACATACCAACTTTACCAGCCAACTGAGAATCCACTTTCCAAAAAGCAACACACACCTATCCCTTCCCTCACTCCCTTCTGGAATGTCAATGCCATTCTCCACACACAGCAACATTCACCCCTCAATCACATCCTATCCCTACTGGCAAGGATTTTAAGACAGACAAAATGAAAAGAAACACTAGGCTAAGTAACAAAATGCTTTAACTAGCATAAACTCACATAACTGCCCAACACAGAGCAGTCTAGCTTGGGGGGGGTGGGGGGTGGGAACAGTATTTTGTAAACACTTCTATCATCTGAAAATTATGACTTTCCACACCACTCCTAACTACTGATGAAACTTTGTTCACTGAAAAAGAGAAAATTATCAAGACTTTTTCACATTAGACATGCATTTATGAAGTTAGGCCAATCTGCACAGGACACAATGCAATTTTCCATTTGCAAGACTGAGCAGTGACAACAATGTTTTTTGTCAACACTGATGAAGTTTTTGAGCCCATGCATAACAATAAGATCCAGAATTAGCACAATGCTTAAAAATCTGGCATGCTAAAATATCCTAAAGCAAGCAGGACACCATTCTGTATTCCAGTCTACATTTTAGCTCCTGCAAATTCCCACACCAGGTTGAGCATTTCCTCTTTCATTTTCATCATCCGCTGTTAAGAAGAGAAGGAAAAGGTAGGATGTTTCTGCTACCATACTTTAGCCCCAGTTGCAAGACACAGCAGAAGGAACCTCGGCTGCTTTGCTTCTCCCGCACATTATTTTTCAGGACCTCCCTTCCCATGAATAGCTCCAAGATTTGCTTCCAGGGGCCCAAAACCTTTTTCAGCCGTAACAAATCAGTTATTCCAGCTCACATCAGCACCATTATATACTTCAATGTTAAGCCAATCTGTGCATATCAAGTGGAGAAATATCTAGATCATAACATCTTTTTTTCTTCTATCCATACTAGTACTGCTGATTTATTTTAATGGTAAATCATTTGGCTCTGGAAGAGTGGGTTGATTTAAAACCTAGATATGTAAGGCTGCTGTGTGTGTATAAGTGTTCCCTCCTGAAATCCAAATCAGACAGCCAACTGCTATTAATAATTATTTTTATCTCAGGTTGTCCCTGCTTCCAATTTCTTTTCAGATTGCCGTCCTAGTTTGACTTAGTTCGTTAAAATCATTCTTTATTATTATCTCTTACTAACCAATCTTGCCTTCTCAATTTTCCAACAATTTTCCATTTCCTTATCATCTCTGTTTTACCCTAATACTTTTTCAGACTCAGAGTACTCTGTCTCACTCTCTCACTCTTCTCATTCCTTCTTCCCTTTTTACCCTTCTCTCCTTAGAGCTTGCTCCAGCATTGCTTACTCCTACCCTTAAAACTCTAAGCATCCAGTTATTCATTCAACCACCACAAAACAAATTAATAGAAGCACAACATCCCTCCCTTGCCTTATGGACAGAGCAATACCTAGCTAGTGGAAACACAAAAATAACTCTTAGCTTGAACTGACACCAATTTGTTTTTAAACAGGTACCAACCTACCAACCCTTGCACAGAACCTGAATCACATTATTTCTAAACAATGGGTGAAGAAAAAGAAACAAAGTTTTCACCTTCAGCCAGCTGACTCACAAAGATGCAATTTTTTTCCCTGTAGAACTGAAGACCTGACAGCCCCAATTTTTTATTTTTTTTTTGACAGAGAGGGTAGCAATGGAGAGAAGTCAAATGTGAACATCGCACACTAAACACAAGATGCAGTATTTCAAAGATATATTCCATTATTTCCTACACTCCTCCCGTCCATTGATCCCAGTGACAAAGGAAGAGAAAAGCCAATGTCTTGCACAGTAAATGAGAGGCTAAGTATGCATGTGTGTAAAGACCAGCTGTGAACCAGATGTGAGAGGCAGGCTATTTAGAGTTGAAAACATATAGACATATGCATGTTTCAACAAGTAAGCGGAACGAGTAACCAACGAAGGAGAGGAACCTCAACGATTTAGTCTTCTGAGGTGCTTGAAATAGCACTAGGTACATTTTACCCTTCCATTCCATAACCCAATCACTTCTTTATTTTTACAAGATCTTACAATAAATCTATTATTGCAAGTGTTTGCTGCCAGGCCATCAGGATGGCTGGAAGAAGCCTCTATTACAGCATCATCTAGGGGGGACAGGAGGAAAAGCAGCCCACCATAGCTGCTGCTCATGCAAAATAAACTGCACTTGAAGCACAGGATTCCTAGAGCCAGCAGGAGATTCAGTGAGGGGCAGGGCCCCCGTGTTTGGTGAGAGGTCTTGCCACAAGGTGCTGAACAGCAGTAGTGAAAGGATTCCTCAGTTTGAATGGAAAACTCCTGGGGAAGGCTACCAGTGAAACAGCGCTTCAGCTGTCAATCCTGTGCATTTATTATGCTCTCATCACACAGTCACTTGGAATTGCCCATCTACTGACTCAGATGAATACAATACCACTTCAGACCGGGTTCAGAATAGCTGGAGACAAGAAAGGTTTTGTTTCTTCATAGAGCTCTGCATAAGTGAGCAAAACCACGTACGTACTTTCACTAAGAGCTTCTTTCTATTAATGGCAGGCAGTTCATTTAAACCACCTCTAAGAATATTTCTACTTTTCATCTGAACTGTGAAGCAGGCAGACTTTCTGCCTCCCACATTTTCAAGTTCATGAAAAACTGTATAACTGTATTCTTCAAATACACAATAAAAGTACAGTTTTAGTGTGTATCTCACAAAAGGATTCAGGCTACATATCGCAATAGGTATGTTCACAGGTGTAAGATTAGCAACTATTTCCATAGGTAAGAAAGCATCTTTTACTTTCTTTGGTCTCTATTTGTCGAAATGTCTCTTTTAAAAAGACAAGTATAACTTGTTTGTAAACAAACTGCTTATAAATAGCACTTAATTACGTTGATTATCGATAGAAAAAAAAATCATAAAAGTCACAAACAGAAACTAAATTGACCCAGAAGCGTCTTTCCAAATCTGAAACAGTAACTCAAATAGATGCAAACTGTTCTATCTACCTCAGGAGGTTATCAGCTCTGAAGCCGAAATTAAGAGAGACTGGAGACCCAGCTAAGCAACCTTCTCCGCTCGGCATTTCGGCGGGAACCACGAATTCACGTCCCCGGCGCCGACCCCAGCCCCTCCGGGGCACTGCCGGCCACCGAGGAGAACGGC